TCTTTTTTTTCTCCTTTCTTACTCTCCTTGATGGTGATCCAGTGCAAAAGACCTTGGCCCCACCAAATCTTATTATTTACCGTAAAGAATTTTTTTGTATTCTTTGATTTGGACCTCCTCTCCCGCTCTCTAATGGATGGGTGGTAAGGTATCTGTGACGAGTGATGTCGTACTATCCTACACTACCCCCTTGTTCCCTCTTGTCCGTGTTCCTATTGTTCCCTGACCGGATGGAGTTTCCTTCTGTCGCTTGTCCATGTGTATACAGTTGTATAGTGCCAGTAGAAAGCGAAATGAGCCATGCGTCGGCATGGATTGAATGATTTTGAGTATGTTCCCGTCGTGTGGATGTAGGTGGAATGGTCGGGTTGATGGTAGCATCTGGCTGACCCACGAGTATTCGAGGCTGCACCGAGCGAGGTCTACGTCTCCCGAGAGTGTTCCTACGAGACTGATATGACTCGCTGGACCTGAGCATGCACTAGTAGAAACGATATCCCGTAGAGGAGTTGATCAAGGCAACGCAAGCGGTCGGACGAGTCTGCCACAAGGCTAAGGTATGTATGTATATATGTACATGCAAAGGTGGAAGAACAACAGAACGAAAGGAAAAGCACGAAAGAAAGAGGCACCAACGCTCCCATGCATAAAGGAAACAGACAAGCCAAGATCTGAAAGAAATGAAACCAGGAAACGACGCGTCACGATTACTCCGTCTTCTTTTTCGAGTCCTCCTTTCCCCCCAATCCCAGCAAGGCCAACGGTCCTTTCTGTCCGCGTTCCTCGAGCTCCTTCTTCCGCTCTTCCCTCGCCTGACGGCGTTCCGCCTTGTATTCTTCCCAGGAGTGGGTGGTGAGGGCGGTGGTGCTGGCATCGGCGTCGGTCTGCGCTGGGGGCAGCGGACGGACGGCATCCTCGCCGGCGTAGGCGCGGATGGCGGCGCGGAAGGACCACTCGACGGCCTCGTCGACGGGTTCGTCGAAGATGTACGGGAGGAAGGGGACGACGGAGAGACCAAGCTGAGCGAACGGCTCTGTTAGCACTCCCATTCAGATCACAACGCACAGCGAAAAGGAAAACTCACTCCAATAGGCGCCCAAGTGCGGAACCAGACACTCTTGGAATTTTTCAAGGCGCGGCCCGAATATTTCACCACGGAATGAATGGTCAGAGCGGGTAGTCCCATACTAGCGATGCTCTGGAACACGGCACGCTTGGCCATGACCACACGGTAATCCTCGATGAGCGGAATCCGAGTCGTGGGCCAGGGCTCCAGGGAATCCGACTCCCCCGTGGAGGAGCGTAACGAGCCGCCGACATTGCCGGTAGCCATGCCCTTGATGACTTGATCTTGGGTGAGATCCTTGGCGTCCTTGTAGGCCTCGCCGGGCGCGCGAGCACGCGCCGATTGCGCAGGTAGGCCTTGTAGCCTTCATGGGCAACATCGCCGATCAGGTACGACCAGGAGATAGCGTAGGCGGAGCGCACCAGATATGGATGAGCTACGGGACGGAAGGATTCGCCTATGTCCGAGGTATAGGCGACGTAACGATGGGCGGAGAGCAACACGGTGCGGAGTCGATTGGCGTATCCGGCATATCGGTAGGGAGTGTCGGTGGAATCCACGGAGCTATTGTTGTTGGGCAGATGATGATTCGGTTAGTGCGAGAGTCTTGTGCCAGTCCTTAGTGGGAACAACAACGAAGAGGAAGGAAGTGTGTTTGGGTACTCGCAGGAAACCCCTGATTTACTGATGGATGCATTGACGTAACGAGGTTTCCTTTTTGCGGGGACAAGGAACAGTGTGGGGAAGAAGAAAGAAGAACCACAACATACTAGGACGAGTAGATGTCATCATAGAAGCCGTCGTCGTGATCCACGAGTTGCTGTAGTTGCGGAGGCAGTTTCTCTCGGGGAATGGGCTTCTCCGGCGAGTCCTCAGGCTGGGACTGTGATCCCCAGAGCATGATGATGATGATGATGATCGTATGGACTTCGTGCGCGTTACAGTCGTCGGGGCCGTGCGAGTAGTCGTATCGACTGTCCGATTCCGAGATGAGTGAATAGGAGAGACTTGAATGAGGGAGGAGGACCGGAGTGGATGCTAATGAAGGAATCCCCAACGTGCCATAGCATAGCCGCACACGCTTGCCGACCAGCTCCAGCTCCAGCGAGGAAGAGTTCACTTCCCCCGAGGTTGTTTCTTCCTGTGATCCGGACGCTCCCTCATGTTTCTGTCGTTTGGTTTCTTTTCGTTTGCTCTTTCCCGTGGTTTGCGAGCAGCTCTTCCTTTCCTCAGAGAGTGATCCCTGGCCTCCATTGACCCTTTGCCCATGCTGAAGACAAGCAACAGCGAAGGATGCGGCCGGATGGCATGACCGATCTCTTCCGACGTCATGGCCGCGGAACCTCGGATAGACCCGGGAGAGTTTCCCGTGACGGCGGCTGGCTCAGGTGCATTGCGGATGGCGATGACTAAGATAGTGTACATAACTACGCAGATGGTTAGTGCACTCGTTATGCGACTAGCAGTTCCTGTGCAGGACTGAACGGTGGCTGGTGCACCAGCCACCGGCCTGCACCGCCTCAGCCTGAGTAAGCCCCTGCAATCCGAAACCCGAACCTCGCCTTTCCTTGAGATCATTTCGCTTCACTGCCTCTCCGCCGTTGTTTCGTCCCTCCACTCCCCCGTCTCAATCAACTCCCGTCTACCCGTCATCATGGTTGTCTACTACCAGCTCGCCGGCAAGCAAGTCGGCTCCCACGTGGTATGTCCCTAATGCTGCCTCGCCGGCTCCCCTGGCTCCAAAGTCTGTTCGCCGCGTGATGGAGCTGCGATGGTCTTGACGGCCTTGCGTGGAAGATCCCCCCGTTGCTGATCCTGTCGTTCTCCTAGCTTGCCATGGGTGTTCTCGGCTCCCTCTTCGGTGGTGTCTACCTCGCCACCCGCGGTGGCTCTCAGCCCAAGCAGGCCGCTCCCCCAATCCAGGCTTCTTCCAAGGACGAGGAGACCTTCATCCAGTATGTCCTCTCTCCCTCTCTCCATTCCATACCTCCTTCCCGACGGGTGACGTCGGATGCTGTTGCGTCTATTGCGTCTGTTGCAATCGTCTTGGAGCAATGAGCGACGACAGTGTCATTGTACCAGCATTGAGCTAGTCCACGGCCGGGAAACAGAATCACAACCCGGCCAATCCGCCATCAGGTCGTTCTACGGGAGCCATGAAACCTCGCTAACCATGCGGTCAACCACAGGGACTTCCTGAAGCAAGTGAACGGAAGCGGGGAGGAGAAGAAGAGCGGCCATTAAGATCTCCGAAGGAGGAGAAATGAATCGAGGACCGTCCCGGAGCCCACGAAATCTTGACTACGACTCTCCCTGACTTGAAGAGCGTCAATCGTCTGATCCGAAACAGGATGGCAACTGGGGCGGGCCTTGTATTATGTGTCGAACTGCTGGGCGGCTTGTACCAGTGGCGAGGTGTGTGATCTGTACATATAGAGGTATACACCGCATTGAGCTATGTTCTTCTATGCTGGTAATCATCAACAAGAGTTGGAGAATCGTGTCCGGTGCACCGTTGGTTTCGTAGGGCGGTTTGACCGCCGATCCATGCGTGGCGTAGACCGTTTGATAGGCGATATTTTCATGTACCTTTGCTATAGCAATCTAAACTACTGCTCCATACATGATCGAATTCGACTCGACGCATCCACCAAAGTCGACCGAACCTGGCGTCACCCACGGAGTCACCTGACCCCGCCGTAAGTGGTTGCGGCCAGAAAGATTCTCTCGATCCTCTCACTCCTCATCCGCACACCGACCGACCCCTCACGCCAGCTGCACTCCGCCGTGGCCACCATGAAACCGCTGCCCTTTCCGGTGGCCCTGAATATCGGTACGGACATCGTACATCTCCCCCGTATCACGCGCCTCCTCCACCGCGGCGACTACCTGACACGCTTCACGCGACGCATCCTCCACGACCATGAACAACGCGACTTCCGCACTCGCTTTGCCCTGCCGGCTGCCACGAATCCGCCAAACCCACGCGCGAATCCGAATCCGAATATCACGGACATGGCCCGCTGGCTCGCTGGTCGGTTCGCCGCCAAGGAAGCCGCACGCAAGGCTGCACCGAATGGAGCGGCGAGCCTGGGATGGAAGGACGTAATGGTACGGGTGAGCGAGACGGACAGGGGCAGACCGGAAATAGTCTACTTGGACGGAGAGACGCCCCGCATTGGGAAGCTGTCCATCTCACACGATGGGGAGTACGTTATTGCTACTGTTCTGGCGGTCGGATGAGGTTGATCTCTGGGGCGTGGGATGACCATCTGTCCTGCCTGAGAGATCACATATCACAGCTCGGACCAGATGGGATGCGAGCTTCGCTCCATGGGTTTAAACCGCTCGTCGGCGCGGTGGCTACGTGTCTCGTCTACTGGGAGTGGGATTGGACATTGGAGTGGAGGACAAGGTACCTCGGTGCGTCTAACCGTGGAGCATTCCCGTTGCAACAACCTCAGCGACAATCCAGCCCTTCGATGGGAAGCACTACGAGGTTGGCGATATGGCTACAGTCAGGGCAGGCGCTTGGGCACATCTGCAACCCGTATGTGTCGAGCCGAGGTACATGTCTACCATGGAACGACAGGACGACGTCCTTTATGGACGGAGTAGCAGTTCAACAGAGAGGTGAATTCAAGACGCTTTGTAGAGTGTATGTAATCTATCAGGATTGATCCGGTGGGACCGGGACAGTTCATGAACCAGTCTTCCGATTTGTCCGCGCATCATCTCCATCGCCCCATCCTCTTCGATCAGGATTTCCCATCATCTCCACCACTGCATGCAATCAGTCGTGCGGTACGCGACGCACATCGTGACATCAGGATTGGAGTGTCTCTCCGGACGTATTTGATAACGGTCGTCAAAGTCTCAACCGGCTGCCCGCACCCATCTGAGTCATCGCGGGGTAAATAAAGTGTCTGTGCATTGATTCGGCATCCAAAAGACCTCACTCCTTCATCGTCAACTCCACATCGGCAATGCCTTTCTCACATCATAGCCACTCCGGGCAATTCTGCCCGGGGCACGCCAAAGACTCGCTGGAGGAGGTCATCCAGCTCGCCATCACCAAGAAATTCCAGGTCTTCTGCCTGACCGAGCACATGCCGCGGGCCCAAGAAGATTTCTATCCAGAAGAGGTACCTCGCCTGACGCTCCACGGTAATCCGCACAGCTAACGGTGGCGGTAGATCGAGGCAGGCAACACGGAGACGGGCCTGGTGGCCAACGAAGCCGCGTACTTCCAGGAGGCGCAACGGCTGCGCGAAAAGTATGCAGACCGGATCAAAATCCTGATCGGGTTCGAAATCGACTGGATCCGTCCGGAATCCCGCACACTCATTGAGGCATCTCTGGCGCGTCACCCCTTCGAGTTCTTCATGGGCTCCGTCCACCACACGTTGACGATCCCCATCGACTACGACCGGGATATGTACGTGCAAGCGCGGGATCTGGCCGGCGGTACGGACGAACAGCTCTTCCAGGTGTACTTCGATGAGCAGTATGAGATGCTGCGGCAGCTGAAGCCGCTAGTCGTGGGGCATTTCGATCTGATCCGGCTGAAGAGCGACGACCCCGAACGCAGCTTTACCCAGTGGCCTGCCGTTTGGGAACGCATCCTGCGGAATCTAGACTTCGTCGCCTCATACGGCGGGCTGTTGGAGTTGAATTCGGCTGCACTGCGGAAGGGCATGAGCGAGCCGTATCCCAAGGCGGAGATTTGCAAGGTATGCTGCGCCACCCCCAGGAAGAAAGCGTCAGCGATAAGACTAATGACCGTAGGAATTCCTGGCGCGAGGAGGTCGTTTCTGTTTGTCCGATGACAGCCATGGGCTCGACCAGGTGGGGTTGAACTTCCATCGTGTGCTGGCCTTTGTGGAAGCCGTAGGTATCTCGACGTTGCATTATTTGGATTTGGCAGATGAGCCGGCCGTGGACGACCGATTTCCGCGGACCCAGATTCGGTCAATATCATTGGAGGAGATGAAGACGTTGGCATTTTGGCAGTAGCCGACGGAGCTGTCGTGTTGGTGCTAGATCTAGAGATACCGTTCGTTATGCATGCCGGGAGGAAACTATCCCAGGCTATCCTTTGTAGCTAATTTTCACATTGTTCCACGTGGCTGAGTGAGCGTTGGGTTTCATTGAGAGATCCTATCAACCATGGCCCAGTCACAACGGTTGTCGGGTTTACCACCTGTGCTGGTGAAAGCTTTTCCTCGCTGAACTCAAGTTTTGCCCTCACATAGCCAGCAGTTGGTGGCATAACTGTAATGCCAAAGTCTTTACTTGTGTATTTACTCGGTTATCACAATACGTCCATGACCGCTAATGCAAGGCTGCGCGACTTGGATTGAATTAAAGCTAGAAATCAGGGTCAACATGACCAGACTACTCGAATTTGCGAGTCGTCTGACAGTCTTCTAGGACGACGATGGCTAGATTCCCAGCAATCCCCGCGGATGAGCGCACCCTATCCACGGACTTCATTAAAGCATTCGACAAACCTTCGCTCACCCGCCTTCACAGCTGGAATGGCACGATGCTTTTGGCCCGCTCCTGGGTCCTGATGCTTCTTTGCCGTAAGTTTCGCTTTCAGAAGATGATCTTCCCACGTCGTGACTGGGGCGAAGGCTGATGTGATGTTGGACAGTTACGCGGAGGATCTGGTGAAGCCATGGTTCAACCTCACTTTTGCCATCGCTGACAGGAGAGATTCATGATCAAGGAGAGAGAGCTTGTGACTCGCAGTTCTGACCGAGTATGACACGCCGTATGTCTTGTACGCGCATGCCGAGAATGCCTTGGCGGCTGGACTGTCGCGAGAGCAAATTCAGCAAGCGGTACATGGAAGGGTCCCCGGCGGACTCGACGAACAGGAGAGAATGGTACAGTTGTGGCGACCAATGCAGGATGAGGAATATGATGAGGCTGTCGGGATCCTTGGTCGCGAGCGAATCGCCGGGCTGGTCCACATTGCAAGTCTATACATCTATGCCGTAATGTTGACGAACATTGGCAGCGATGGTGATGTTCCACCCACGAAGGAAGGCAGTTTCATTGCGACCAAGAATCCCGCTTTGGGGGAATGGGTTTCTTGGGGAGGATGCTGCATACAGATAAAGCTGCGTGCATGAGTCTTTTGCCTTATGTTAGAGATACAAGCCTCTCTCGCATATGTTAGGGTCAACATTACTCCGAAGATAGAGATCATCTCTCTAGTCAGTTGCCTTGGGCTGCTTCCCGTTCTCTCGTAACGATGTTCCCTAGGACTGAGACCTCCATATCCCCAGCAGATCAAACACAGGCATATCCGCTGTAAAATCCTTCACCATCCAACTCTAGAGGTCCACTACCGTCAATGAACCGGTATGTAATGGTTGTTCGATCTTCCGTCTGTGTTGGGGTCTCAAGGGTCGTTGGCAGAACCTCTACAATGCATTGATAATGAGCTTACCTGCCATAGAGGTTGACTCGGCCTGTCAGCAACTTGTGGATACTATTCTCTTCGACACAACTGACTCCGGACTGGAAGATACTCCATTATGTAGGTGAAAGTGACCCCAGAAGGAAGAGCGGAAAACAGCTGGGACATCCACATTCCGGTTCACGTTCACTGACGACAATACCCTCTGAGGAAGGATCGGAGATGCATCGAGTGACGGGTCGTAAAAGTCAGTCGGACACCACCAGTATCTCTGCCTGAGTGAATGGCGAGTAGAGGTTGGTAGAGATGAGCCGTCTTGCACCGTTTCTCTTAGTGAGTAATGCACCAATGAGGAGAATGCCTAGATCTCGTGAGACGGCTTTCTCGCCGTGTGCGGGTTGGCTATATCGCCCAAACGTATACTTCGGGTTTATAGGATATGCAAGCTGTCAGCTTGTGCCACTGCATGATTCACATTACACATGAAAGCGCCAGCCAAGACTGCCAATCCACAGATACTTCAGATACCTCTGTCCAAGAGCTTTCCCGGTTTTACCTGTGTAGGGGGCCGCATGATCAGTCTTCTGCATGGCGTACAGAAAGGAACCCCTCGTGCAAGCCATAATACGTTCTAAAACAGTGACGAAGTCTGCAAAACCCTTACACTGGCCAGATTTCCAGTAGCTCCAGTCAAAGTGGCTCCCTCACGGCTCCCTCACGAAGTTGCAGTCATCGGCGTGGGCCAGTCGGAGGAATTGCGTTGATCTTGACAATCGCCAGTAATATTGAAGCGGTGACTAGAAGGACTGCAGATGTTCTGCTGGTGAACAACGTCAGATCATCCAACAGGCAATTGTCGGGGCCAGGATATCGCGCTTTGCTACTTGGAGTGCTGTCAACTGGGAGAGATCTCACGGCCATTGTGCAGAGTATCGAACGCCTGTTTATGAAACGGAGAAACTTTGTGCTCAGCTCCTGTTCGAGAAACAAGTATAGGTGATCCGCTTAGAGGGATACCAAGCGCCGAGCTTCTTATATTGGTCTCTGGTACCGGGCATAGTAGTGCTATCTCGGTGCGGATCACACAACGCCCGGTGCTTCCTCGGGTAGCAAAAAAAAACAATTTCGCTTTAATCTGTCTATGTTCGATGTCTCTCAGTCTGAAACTTTCTCTGGTTGCTCTTGAATTATCTTCCTGGCCTCCACTTTGATCCCAACAGACAGGACATGGCTATCTAGCCCGAAGATAGATACGATGTATCTACAATCAGGAAACCACAACTGGGATTTAGAATGAGGTTAGAGTCCAAGGGAACATCAGAGCCAGGGTCTAACTTTTGTATCCAACTTCCTGTCGGCTTGTTCTTACCCGAGACCCTGTTGATGGGCAGAAAAGCCTGGCTTCGTTCACTTCGGACAAGGGGACATACCAAACTCTCTCTCTCCACTCTCTGCTCCGCATCACCTCATCTTCATCGTAAGGTATAGCCCTGGGCTTGATCTGCTAGCTGAACTCTATCATACGCTCGGGTTAACATTCCCCGTGTATCCCCGCATTTTGTGCCAGGCGTCTATTGCTTAAAAGCTATACTCCGCATACGCATCGAGGGAATGTAGCCTCGGTGCTATATAACTTCCTTCAGGACATTGCAGAAGACCTTCTATGTTTTCCCTACTATAGCTGAACGAACTTAATTCCCGGCCACTATTGTCTCACTATGTTGCCTTTCAAGACTGTATTTTCCGCTGTTTTCTTGGCTGTAGGAGGTTGGTCAAGGGTTCCTTAACACCAGCTCTCCGTACTTAAGCTCGTCACTAGGCTTCCTCTTCGGCTATGATAGCGGTATCATTACCTCCACGATCTCGCTACCCACATTCCAAGAGTACTTCACCAATCCCAGCGACACCGTCACGGGTGGTATTGTTTCAGCATTCCAAGGAGGCGCCATTCTCGGTACAATGGTGAACATGGTCTGCGCGGACTGGTTAGGTCGAAAATGGACAATCCTGGCGGGTTCTGTTATCTCCTGTCTAGGCTGTGCCTTACAGGCTGGTGCCGTGAACATGGCGATGCTTATTGTTGGCCGCTTCATTGCTGGAATGGCCGTGGGAATGCTCACAGCTACGATCCCCATGTACGCTGCTGAGTTGTCTGAGCCAAAATGGCGTGCCACCCTTTCCGGGTTGCTTCAATGGATGTTGAGCTGGGGGTTTCTTGTTGCCCAGTGGCTTGGATACGGTTGTTCCTTTGCCTCTACGGAATTTTCATGTATTGTCTCCGGGCTTAATGGGATCAACGGACCGTACTGATTCATTCCAGGGAGATTCCCGCTCGCCTTTCAGAACATACCCGGTCTGATTCTAATTGCCGGCATTTGGTTTCTCGATGAGTCGCCACGTTGGCTGATGGAGAAGGATAGATATGAAGAGGCCAAGACAGTCCTTACACGGCTGCGAGGTAATGCCTCTCCTGGGCTAGTCGAGCTGGAATTCTGCGAGATCCGAGACGTCATCGACGCCGACCGTGCTGCTGGCAATACCTCTTGGAGGACCATCGTGACGAAACCATCCTGGCGTCGTCGATTGATTCTTGGGTGTGGTGTACAGGCATTTGGACCTCTCTCCGGCATCAACGTGATTAATTAGTCCGTATCCAGGTTACTCGACAGGTTTGGATCCGTGCTAACCTGCCTAGTTACGGTCCCCGAATTTATGAGATCCTGGGGATCGACAATCAGACTTCGCTCATGATCATCGGGATCAGTGGCGCGCTTGCCATTGTGTATTGCACCATCTGTCTATACCTCGTGGACAAGGTTGGACGTGTTAAGCCGCTGATTGTGTCTGCTGCGTTTCTCGCCGCGTCTCTGCTCGTCAACGCCGTCCAAGCCCAATACATGGATGCCAATAACCCACACCAGCTGCGGTCCATGGTCGCCATGAATTTCGTATTTAGTCTCTTCTACACTCCTTTGGGTATCATTTCTTGGGTAGGCATTCATTCCTGCATCCAATGCTGCCTCCATCACCCTAACCCGCTATCTGCTAGGTTTACCCGGCTGAAATCTTCCCCGTTGAAGTGCGCGCGCTGGGGAATGCCCTTACCACCTTCACCAACTGGACGGTCAACTTAATCTTCGCACAGTTCACTCCCGTCGCGCTGTCCTCAGTGGGCTTCAAGTACTTTTACCTGTTCTTCGCGCTGAATCTCATCGCGATGACCTGCTACTACTTCTTCTATCCCGAGACGAAAGGGCGCACTCTGGAGCAGATCGATGAACTGTTCGGTGACCAGCTCGTACCGCACGCTCTGGAAGATCCTGTTGGCGCACAGGCAGCCATGGAAAAGGAGGCACAGGTGGCCCATGTAGAGAATGAGGGGCAGAAATGACCTGGCACTAGATACTTAGCGCATCGTCTGGGCAAGTGAAGACCGTCATGCCACTCTCCTCTCTTGGCCGAGTAGCTTGACTCTGGGTAGAACCGCAAGCCAGTGGGCTCTCGTATCTTAATAGTGCCAATGCGGGCACTAAATGCCTGCAGCGGCGAAAGACCAATGGGCATCTGAGAACGCCGCCGCCTAAAACCCTAAAGAGATATCGAGGAAATTAAAGACGCGTTGAATGTCCAATGCGGGGGGGTCAAAGACCGCTCAGCAATCGTTAGGTCAATCGATGGCATTCTCATTCGAACCGAATAGAGGCGGTATGTAAGGATGGCAATGTGCCAGGTTTTCGCAGCCTGCGAGGGCTCCACTTAGAGAACGTAGTTTTAATGCAGGTGAGTAAGTCTCGGGATATCATAGCAGTGACAGCACATCAGGTCGGCAAATGCTATTTCTAAAACATAGAACCTAAGAAGTCGAATGGCACCTTTGGGTACGTGCTCCCGTCTTCACATCAGTGGGCCATTACGCATCCTCTTGGCTGTGATGGGTGGCGACGGCTTTACCATCATCCTCCCCAGGTGGGAAGTGTGATGCACCTCTGGTAGTATGCCTGGTCTGTGCGGAGCATAAAATGTCGAGAACACTTTGTCGGTCTAAAGCTACAGCATTCCTCCGAGAAGACCAGAAGTCCTTGCATTCTGCAGGAAAGGGGTCGTAGCGAAGACCTTAACCGAGAGATCTACTCCTAGCGTAGCTCAAGACTTTCCAGGTTCTAGGATATTGCGTGGCCTATTAACAGCGATCCATAGCAGTCTCCATACAGAGAATTCCCCACGCATGGATGGCTGCATCTGGCAACATGGAGTAATCGATTGGGAGGTTTTGCTTCCCTAGGAACTATGGATGATTCCTCTGATTCGGAGGCAATGGAGTGCTTTGCCGACGTAACTGCGAAGGCCCAAGCGCTCGTGCTAGTGCAATATCGGTTAGATATAGACTGGGTGTGTACGATTCAAAGCTATCCTCGTCAAGAGACGAAACTGCCAATACGCTGTAAGGGGATTCCCAGATACCTTGAGCAGCGGTAGATGCTGGAGAAATGGAAGATAAAGCATGCATTCATAATACGAGCAGGCTTCTATTCTGTTGTACAGCTTGTTCTTTTGATCCTGCATCTCGTGAAATTTCATGATGAAGGCTCGTAGTTTACTGCATGTCCTGGCTCCCATTTCTTCTGTGCTCTCTACCTTCATCTCTCCTCCACGAGCTTCCAAACCTGCTTCCGTTGAAGTTGTCGTGATATACGATGCAGACTTTCTTTGTCAATAGCGGACGTATCTTCGCACTCGCGGGAGAATATGCTCCACTTCGCTATGCTGTGCCCAGTATCTGGCTAGACGACTTTGAGAAAACCAAAGCTCTCAGTTTCAACTCTGTCTCGTTCTACGTACTCTGATTCCTCGTTGAAGAAGAGCATGGAGGCTTTTCTGTCGAAGGCGTCTTGGATCTAAAAAAATTGTTCGGCGCAGCCACCCAGACAGGCATAGATCTGATGGCCCGTCCTGGGCCGTATTTCTCCACCAAACCTTCAGGCAGAGATCTCCCTGGGTGGATACAGAGAGTCAATGACTCTTGGCTGCACCGAGAGCTGTATGGATAGCATGTACAAGATCATTGCCGATGGACGGAACTGGCGCGCCTCTGATACTCGTGCAACGAGTACTCCATGTTCAAGTGTGGGGCATTGGGTTCAGATGTAAAGTACATACAATATTTCATGGATACCTCACGCGATGGTATAACTAGCAATGGGTACAACGCTCTGGGAACTGACCTGCGTGCTGTCGATAGCTAACGCTATGATCAATGCCCCATCGGGGTGGGATGCTATGATCTATACAACTGGTCGGCTGAGTAGTCTACTGGAATGCACGCCTAGCCTTGAGCCTGAGTACTCCACATCTCACTGTGGAATCCCAAGCTGGAACCACTAGTGGATTGGGCGAGCTTGAATATTATCATTGTGGCCCAGCCAATACGAGTTGCACGCGTGGTCTTCAATAATCGTTATTCTTCCGGTGTCAAAAACTTTTAGCTAGCATCTACTCAATCGAACTGGGAAAACCTAACTTACCCAGGCCTTTATACTAATTTTGAACATGGGACCTTGATTGATGAGGGCACTGTCGTCCCCGAGAAATATTCTGAAACTAAATTGAAAGGTCAACACTTCAAACTATCGCCGAGTTACTACTCTACACGGACTGTCAAATCAGAGTCACCACATTCACGGACGACTCAGCATTTAAAGTGACCCGACCCAGCTCACTGATCAGAACGGACAGACCTTCCTCTATATTATTCGTCATACTACATATGAAAGCTACGATATCACTCCGTATAGATGAGGTTGCCAACGGGCGTAGGAAGCCGTACAGTCCCCAGACTCGGGATTCCTGAGTTCTTAACGGCCATGGCTCAAAGATATATGTGTCTGACTACAGTACTAGCATGAGACGCTTCTTAATTCCACTGCAGAGGCCTTCACCTGAAAGATATACGTAGACAGAACTGTGTTGGTTCTTCATGAGGACCGGAGAAGCTCACGGGGCTGAGGGGTTGAGCGACTTGATGGCGTCGTTCGGAACCCCAGAGTTGATCATCTGCGCGGCCTGGGAGATGAGGTTATTGAAGGTTTGATTCATGCACAGCCAATATATGGGGAAGAGTAGTCTGGACAGCGGACAAAGCCATCATGCACAAGGGCAGCAGATATTCATTGATGTATTCATATCATTCCGACAGGTCTCGGAATACAACCCTAACTCATATAGGGTTCATCCCGAGCGGAGTAAATCTGTGATTAGTAACCGGCAGGAACTCCGACTTCTCTTCTACCTCTTGACCATGACGACCGCTGATAATGCTCAATCGCAGAGGCTATTCACCATGAAGAACACTCCTAGGGGCATGGTCCGGAAGAATGGTAAACCAATCTCCTGCGAACCGTGTCGCATCTCCAAGATCCGGTGTGACCATCAACAACCAACGTGTAGACGATGTGATGTTAGGGGCTTAAGTTCTAAGGTAAGAATAAACTTATAACTTCAATTGCTGTCTGAATCTGGAGATGAACCCAGGGTAAGATACAGACTGACAGCACCAGTGCTACTACCATCCGGCCCCTTTAACTCGACCACGGAAGAAGGCACAGGCACCTCGCAGTGTGTCTCCTGTAAACCCATCGCGTGCGGATGATGAGGCCTTGGACACCTTTACCAGCCCAGATGACAGCATCGTATCAACTGGGCCTCAAATAGGCTTGACGTCTACCTCCCAACTAACGTATTTGGGGTCCACCAGTTTTATGTCAGCGTTTCACCGCGATCAACGGGATATGAGCCTCTCAACACCGAAAACTGCCCATGCATCCACTTTACGCAAGGCTTGGAGTGCGGACTTCACTCACGTGTTTCCCCGACTGGTGCAGCTTCTGCGTCCCCTCAAGCTGTATGAAGATTTAATAACCGACAAATACCATCGCAGCCCATTCACCGTCATCCCAGCTCCTCTTGTGCTTACGCCCTTACGGTTGTTGCGAAACCACTGGGACAGGGAGGGATGGCCGCATGAGGGCTTGGGGTCCCACATCACTCAGAACACAGCCACCAACGTGATCAAGGTGGAAGCGAATATGACAACGCACCAGTTTTACCGTTTGTTCACCGGTGTGAACCTGCGATGGGAGTTTGTGGGCCTCATATTCGCTCTGGCGGGGCTCGGGGCCAGCATATCCTGTCCCTCCCCATTGTTCTCTCTGAACGGTAAGGATGAAATCAGCCAGATGCCTTTGCCATGGAGATGGCAGCTGCAAGTCATGCATGTATTGAAATCTGCAGGCAGTACGACAATGTGAATGACTTGGTGGTTTGGCTGCACTACGCGTATTTCGTATTAGGATCAAATATAGACGGAGAGACGAGTAATACCAATCCACTCCACACGATTGGTGCGCAATGCACGAGGCTAACAGACAATAGACCATCATATTTACGCACAATTTGGGGACTTGGTCTCCTGCATCCATGCAATGGGCCTACACCGTCCACATCCTCCTGACTCCTCCGTCCCCTTCTTTCTCTCACAGACCCGCAAGAGGGTTTTCACAGCGTCATATCGCACCGACAAGAACCTCGCTACTTTCCTGGGAAGGCCACCTCGGCTTTCCTACCATTATTGCGACGTGGAACTACCCTTAGATCTCGATGACCATAGTCTCATCCTGGATCACCTATCCCTCGACAAAGCTGTCAGGCAGCTTACATCGGATGGATGGGGTGCTTTCAGCGGTGGTCTTCGCCCTGCCACAGTCATCCGGTTGCGATATATGATTGCGAGGTTGCGAGAGCAGGTGATGGAGCTGTCCTTGGGGCGGGGCTTCGTAGGCTCTAGAGAAAGTGAACTCCAGTAGGACAAATAGCGTAGACTTCTCGTTAGTTATGGTGAAGCTAACATGCCTGTAGGATGACCTATCAAGAGTGTAAGCGATTGTGGGATAGAGTGCCCAAGGAACTTCACTACAGCAAGCGCTCCTGGGGAGTTTTGGGCCCGCACTTGTCCATAATTAGTCTGGTCATCCATCTGGAATACCTCTATACGGTGTTCCAGGTCGAGCGCATCCGTTGCAGCGAGAGTCCCGATGCCATGACCGATCTGCTGGACTCGGCCATGCAGATTGTCTCGGCAGTCACGGACTTCACGAAGCAAAGCGATCAAGAAGGCAGCATCCGAGAGAAGTACACGTGGATTGTAAGTCATTATAACCCGTCTGTATCCCATTATCTAACCTGTTGTAACCAACTAGTTCCTTTTTTACGCTCTCCCGGCAGCAGGTGTCGTTGCAACCGAGCTCCATCGCTGTACGGTGTCCATGGTGCCACTGCCATGTTCCATGCCCCGGTCCAGGATTATCCGTGATCTAAACCTGCTTGCCTCCTGGTTCGAAAGTGCCAACCCACCGACTAGTTACACACATCAGGCGTGTGTGGAGGTCACCAAGGCCATAATCAAACTCTTAGATGATACTTTGGATTACCCGTCAGGCGGGCAGAGGGTAGATGGACCACAGCCTGGTACAGGCAATCGTCCTGGGCCGAACAGCGGTGATCAAGTTCGGGACAATTCCCATTCCATCGGGGGTTCCTTCAATACCCATGGACAAAGTGAGACCATACCAAACGTGGATACTCTCGAAACCAGTGAGGATTTCTTGAACTGGCTGGATGAGCTGGGGCTGGACACTAGCGTCCCTGAGTTCTTTGGGTGGCAGTAACATACCATAGCCATCATCGAGCCTGGAGGGGAAAGACTGAGTTGAGGGAAGCTATTCGGGATCTTTGTGAAGGGTATGCAAGAGTGACTTGTTCATTCATTCTAGGCTGTTGCTGGGACTGATTATATTGAATTATCTGGTAAGGTATAAATTGAGTCGAAAGCCGAGCTAGGATCCTTCTCACTGCAAAGCTTGGATGGCTACCACTTCTCTAGCTCTTAGCAATGGAATTCTCATCCATCTTAATCGACCACTGTTATTTGCTGTCGAGTTGAGGATGCTTCGACAGTCGCCGGTTATTTATCTTGTCAACCGGATGATACGCATCTGTTCTCCTTTTGATTATTTTTTTTTATTCTTCAAGACAACTGTTCTACGATTTGTTCACACGGTGTATCTGGCCTAAGTTCAGAAGTTGATATTAATGACAACCTCGATAAGAAAGAAAACACCATACACTCTTGGTACACAGTTCGTGCTCTTTTCCAAACAGATGTACTGTACTAACCTTGGCCAAAGAAGAACAGATCTTTCTATCCTATGAACCAACGGTAAACAAGACAAGCGACCGCCGACTGTCAAGTATCCTCATCTTCCGATCCTGAAGAAGTCTTGGTCATCCATCATGTTCTGATACAGTTGATTGTGTATAATCCTCATCGTCAGTGGACCGGCAATATTGGGACTTGTATCAATTCCTATCCTCGCAGATACTATCTGCTTTCTTTACTGCTAGCCAAGATATATCGGTATCTTTGTCTCAAAATCACTCTATATCTTCTGTAGTCTTGTAAATCTTTTTCCTTTGCTACTTATTTTTGATTCATGAACGATCACATGGATACTGCGGTAGATCAGAAATCGAGGCAGTGTCTTGAGAAGAGTCTTAGTTGCAAGGAAGCCCCGTTGTAGCGCAGAGAGGGAAGCCATCTGGATTCCTTTGGATGCAAGAATCTCCATGATATATACCGTTTTCAAGAGCTCGATAGGTCGTTTCCAGAAGCAGCTGTTGCTGTGGATAAGGGGCCTTTCCATACTGGCATCTGTAGAGTATAGGGCCATCATTCAGCGTATACGTGAGTATTAAAATTTGACCGATTCAACTACCGGGTCTAGGTGAACTCACACCCTCACTATTGATCCTATGTGGGGGGAAAATCTTAACAGACACATCGACTTTCCATCACCAACTCCCAATAGTCGGCAAGGTGCGTAACACCTCCAAGGATTTGGAGTGATAGACCAATGACTGCTATTGGAGCCAGACTATCCTGTTCCAAGGACAAATCCATAGGTAGACGGAGAGGAGCCATGAGAACTGAACGAAGAAGGCTGCACGTACAGCATGCAAGATATGAACTAGTAAGAATCTTTGCCTTGGTATAATCCTGTAGGAACGATAACCACAGCATCAAATGGGCCTTCGTGCTCGATAAAAGTCCTGGAGATTGCTCAAAGTCGCACTGAATGTCTCAGGCTTCTCCGGGTCAAAATAAGCAAACCCACCATCATTGGTGCGAAAATAGGTCGCAACCCCTGCTAGGTTGTAAGTAGGCAATCAAACAGTATGAGTACTGCCAGGGTCCATGGGGTGTGGAATTGTTCCTTCAGCAGAATCATATGAGTGCGAGTCTCCCAGTTCATAGCGGAGAGCAGCTGCTCGTCTGTTCAGCCAGTAGGTTCAACTGCAGGCTAGATATCTCACCTGTTTGTGCCTCGAGAATCTGCCATGGTAATTACAGTCGTTAGTCGTACTCAAAATCAACATGGGAAATAGAATGCTACCTGAGAGTTTGTTCAAAGTCCGTGTAAGCAGAGAAAGTGCATTTTGGATTACTAGGAACGTGGGATTCAACAATTTACTGTCGGACCGAGTGGGAGAGACTAGATCTGCATCTCTTTATGAGTGCCACCCATGAGGGGCCCAGGCTTCCAGTCAGTTGCTACAGGAAGTATCAGCGAGAGTACGAGGTATCGAGAATACCAATAGACTTTAATAATGGTTGTACATGCACGGAAAAAGCGTGTCATGTCCCAGGCATTCTCTGACCACGCCCTACGTGATATAGAGCCCCGTGTGCTTTCCGCTATTCCAGATTGGTTTCATGCTGGAAGAGGCAGATAGACTTCTCTCACAAACAATTAACCGATCTTGCAGTGAATATGGAAACTACCAAACGCCGAGACGTTATCTACTTCCAGCAGCAGGCGCGAGATCCGGAGACCGGCGAAGGGGTATTCACAGGCGGAGATGATGGGCGAGGCAACCCTACTCCTCGGCGCTGGCATGCTTGAAGTCCTTGGTACTGGGTAGGCTTTGGCTACACTTTGCTAACATTCGAAAAAGGGTTTGATACTGCGAACACAGCATTATCAGCTACGTTTTACTTTCTATGTAAACACCCCGAGGTTCTCACACCATTGACCTCTGCCTGCAGGTGGGTACAAAATCCGGGATAATTTTAATGTAAGTAGGGAGGGATCAATAGTCCAATTTTGAAAGAGACTTTAGGGCTTCAGAACACAAACACAGCGGGGCGTACTAAGTTACTATGGTTCAAGCTAGTTTCTCTTCTATATATTCATGTCGTGTTGCTCTAGTAGATGGTCTCTTGTCGCGGATGATATACTTTTCCAGGTCTCTTATAACAGTCTGAGAAGACCCAAGGTGGATCCTACGTTCTAATAGCAAGTTCAATTATATGAAGCGGTGTATCCAAGAAAAGGGGACAGCTGCATTAACCACCATCTGGCATCTACCATATACTAAAAGAGGTTAGGTTAAAGTATAACGGGTTAGCTACAAGCGCTCTTTGCCTGGCTTTCTAGGAGAGCGAAATGCGCTGAGAGGCTTGATAGTCTTAAACCAATCTTCACCAAGTACAAGGTGCTCGCGTTTGGTCATGGACTGTCTCTTCACGGCCCAGTCCTTCTCCGTAATGACAAACTTTTGCACTTCTTGCCCCAGCCATGCAGAACTAACCTCGGCGGCCTCAGCCACATTTTCAAAGGGGAATAGATGGCTGCCCTTTGGTATCACAGCTTCTTTGACCTTTCCCTGAGAGTCTCCTCCACTGCCTCCAATGCCGTGACCGCATGTTTTGATTCCTTCTCGGATCTCATCAAGTCGAAGATAGCTCTTCTCCCCCAAAACCCATATTACCGAGGGTCGAAGGGTTGGGAGGCGAAAGAATGTGGCGCGCGGCTCCGGGCGATACATAGGGATGAAAGCGGCCAGCGGGTCCATGTCGGCGTGCGTTGAACGGTCGATCTGGATTCGACCATCTGGCGTGCGTGCAGAGAAGTTTTCACGTATCTGAGCAACCATGTCCTGGTACTTAGAGGTGGTCAGAGTTACAGGTGGGTTGGCTGGGTCACTCCCTTCCAAGGGCTCGGGATGCAGAGCCGTGGGGAGGTCACGAAATCCAAACTTCGCCATGCGATCCACACAGCGGGGGTCCATCTTAGGGAACATTTTTCGATAGGCTGCCGTGGCAGCTTGGCGATTTGGCCAGACATCCTGACGGTATAACGTGAAATTAATAGCGCTTGGAGGGTCGGCACCAAAGCCCATGGTTGGCGGGTTCAACTGGATGACCGGATCCAGGAGGATGAGTGTAGTAAAGAGCCGTGGATGTAAGAAAGCCAGATTAGTTCTAGGGAGATCGAAACCATATTAGACTATCTCAGGTCGTCCCAAGTCCATGGGGCTCAAACGTACATGATATTTCCGCCGAAACTGTGGCCCAGCCCAACCAGGGGCCGGGGCATCTGCTCACGAAAGTGGTTGATCATCAAGAGAAGATCACGAGAATGGTCCATCCAGGAAACTATGTTGATCGATCAACTAACCAGCTGCTTGAGAAGGTAGTGGAACTTACAATCAGTGCTAAGCTTGTCTTCGTTGAGAATGGCGCTCATTCCCATGTTCGCCGCCTCTGCAACCCAGATGCTGCGAATCTGGAAATTGTTTTGCTCGGCGCGTTGTAGTATCTCATCCCACAGTGGCTCATACAGCTCCTATTCTACATTTAGCGGTCATCCAGGGATAACATTTAGGAGAGGGACCACTTGAAAATCATGGATACCTTGGCAAGGCCAACACCGTGGGCAGCAATGATCGTAACCGCCTCTGGAGAGAGCGGCTCTGGTCGTTCTAGAGGTGTATACTGCTTGACATGCAGCTGCAGGACGTCTTCCTGGCGGCCAGCGGTGCTCCCGGCATACTCGCGAATGTGACAGCCAGGTACGGTATGTTCGGTGATACGGAAGTTATTGGAGGACATTCTTTTGGTGCTATTCAAGTTTCGGTGTTGGATGGTCGAATCTGGGCGAGGGATGAGAAACAAAACTAGAGCAAGTGGATTGCGGGCAGTAGTAACTACTGGCTATTTATACCATTCAATGATCGATAAGACCATTAAATAAGAGGGAAAAAAGAAAAAAAAAAAGGAAAGGAAAGAAAAAAGAGCGAGAGAACAAGAACAAAGAAAAGAAGAACCCAAATTCGACCAGGGTTCACTCCAACATGTGATCACCAACTATGGTATACACTCCAGCAGACTATGTTAAGAACATACATAACCACGTACCTGACAATTGTTTCCCCTTCTTTTCCTTTCCTTTCCTTTCCTTCAATTCTCCGTTGACATTGTTATGCCCATATGGTCGATTCGATGGCCTCTTCTCCCCATACACCAAGCGCGAAAACACTCGCGGATTCTTCTTTACCAGACCCAACCACGGAAGTCCAACAACACGCGGAGGATCCAAAAGCCGATCCCGAACGCAGCGCCAAAGCATGGAGGGCTGTCGCAGGTTCATCGGCAGCCCTTTTCGCCTCCTTTGGCTGGGTTAACTGCATTGGGGTCTTCCAAGCGGAGTACGAGGCGAGCCTGTTGAAAGGCTACAGCAGTTCAACAATCTCGTGGATAACTTCAATGGAGTGTGTGTGCCACCTTCCAGTGTATATCTACCGGAAGCCTTCTGCAGTACTAATCACCAGAAGTTTTCCTAATGTTATTCCCCTCACCTATAGCGGGTAAGCTTTTTGACAACTATGGTCCACGGATTCCCATCGCGATCGGCACGCTGGTCCATTTCTTTGGTCTCATGATGGCTAGCCTGTCCCGGGAGTATTATCAGTTCATGCTAAGTCAGTCTGTTTGCTCGGGCCTCGGTTGCGCCATGATCTTCACCCCATCGATGAGCGCTGTAAGGACGGCTCCTTCCGAACAACGTTACTGATGCTGACCCACCGGCTGATTATAGCCCTATACGTGGTTCCGGAGAAGGCGTGCCATTGCCTCTGGGCTGACTGTGGCGGGCTCCTCCCTTGGTGGGGTCATTTTTCCACTAATGGTCCAACATCTTATCCCCCAAGTGGGTTTCGCCTGGACCATGAGAATCTGTGCTTTCCTTGTCTTAGCTATGATGATCTTCGCCAACCTCACGATCTCGTCGTCATTGGTGCATCATCCGCGGCCTTTCAAAGCTAGTGATTATACCCGGCCCCTCCGCGAGCTGAACTTTTGTGTTCTGGCTGCAGCTTGCTTTTTCCTCTACTGTAAGTGCGCGGGTTCCACCGGAGGATTCGATGCATTAACGGGATGCAGGGGGCATGTTTGTCCCCTTTAATTACATCGCGGTGGTGTCCATGCAGCACGGAATGTCTCCAAGCCTCGCACTAAGCCTCATACCAATCCTCAACGGCGCTAGGTAAGAGGGCCCCTTTTCTGTGGCATCGTTCGACTGTCGCCAAGCTAATTCAAAATTGTCTAGCTTCTTCGGTCGTACTGTACCCAACTACATCGCTGACCGTGTGGGTGCATTCAACGTCATGATCGTCATGACCACCTTCACCGCCGCCCTTGTCCTAGCATTATGGCTCCCAGCACGTAGCAACGGGGCGATTTTGACCTTCACTACTCTCTTCGGAATTGGGTCAGGGGGAGGGGTCGGGTTGGGCCCTGTCTTAATTGCTATTCTATCCCCCATAAGTGAGGTGGGGGTCCGCGTCGGCCTAACCCTTGCCATTGGCGCCATCGGTGGTCTTACCGGCCCTCCTATTGCGGGAGCCATTGCGGCGCAGGATGGGGACAGCTTCAGGTTTGCCTGCGTCTTTTCTGGGGTTAGCTATGTACTTTCTCTCCTCTGCTTTGTGATTCTCCGTGTCAGGCGGGGCGGCTGGAGGGTTGCATCGAAGGTATGAACCACTCAAGAGTAAGTTATACCCAGGAATCCTCGTCGATCGTTGCCTCCAATGGAGTCCTATATCCGTTCTCGTCTTACCCTAGTGGGGGCAGCAGCGGGAAGATCCCGGCCCATATGTGGAGTTAGTGGAAAGTCTGGCGAATAATCTTTTGCTTGATAGGAAGAAGCAAGTCCAGAAGTTAGCAAATGCCACCAAATGTCGCTATTTAGGTCACGCACATGTGGTTACGGCTGACAAGGCTTTCTATCTAGATCCATAAACATGAGTAGAGAACGACAATCTGTCGGATGGGCGGTGGCTCCAGGTGTCATTCTACTGTATATATATCTTGTTTAGTAGAACACATGCAACTGTTTGATCTAAGCCATTGTAAACGGCTTGTCGATCTTTAGACATATTGCCAGGGCTTGTCATTTGTCTTGGCTTGGATATAAACGGTATACGTAAGCAGACTGCCCCGTTATACGAGGTGAAAAAGAGCTGTCCGCTGAACGAACTTTAGTGGGTGCCCAGTTAGGACGGGTTGGATGGCATCTCGACGTTGTCAAAGTGATCGATCCAGAAGCCTTGATTCCATGGACGAAGATTCTTCTCGTATGCCCCATACTGTACTCGGCCGCCTGTATGATCCCTCGGGTGGTGATGCTTACTCTTTATCTTTGTGTCTTCCCCGAGAAGGGATATCGGGTAGCCTGTTACATCTTAATGTGGTTGGTTATCGCCTTAGGAGTGGCTGACATTCTCACCGGTGCTCTTGAATGTATTCCAGTGGAATGCCTCTGGGACAAGAGCATTCCAGGACACTGCATCGATCTACCTCTATTTTTTCGATGGGGAACTCTCACAAATGTGATCATGAATTTCTTCATGCTCATACTTCCCCAGCCAGTTATCTGGAAACTCCAGGTCAGCGTGCAAGTTAAGATAGGGTTGGCCGTGACAATCCTGACCGGAAGCGTGTATGAGTCCCATCCACCCACTTTCGTATATTGTTGTTGTGGCTATAGCAAGCTCACCCTTGTCTAGAGGCATGATTACATCCATCATACGATGCGTCGCATTTTTCCAGCATGATCCCCTTGAGGACGGCACCTGGGCATCGGTCACCTTTGTCAACTGGAGTATTTTTGAACCTGGTGTTTACTTGCTCGCTGCCTGTTTACCATGTTATCGGCCACTGATAAAGGCACTATGCCGAAGAAGACCGCGCGGATCTCCAGACTACTCCGCTAATACGTATCTCGATATCTCTGAATCGAAAGCCTTGGAAGGTAGTTGGAAATCCGGCTCTGGGAGGACGATCGAGGATATACACGAGCTGGAAATGCACAACTATCCCCAGACTAGAGCTCGTTCTATGTGAAAGCTTCGCATGACAATGTATTTCTAGGGCAGTGAAAGCTTCAGGTATTAACTGGAGCATCGCAAGCTTGCCAATATCGTCTCCTAATCTATATCAACCAGATCCCACAACACCAATCAACTCAACGAACCTCCTCGAAGTTACAAGGCTCGCCCGCACTCCACAGCGTGTTTAAAATCATCGCTTATATAGAGACCATTGGACCACAATCGGCCAAATTGATACTCTGCAATGTGTCTTTCCTTTTTCTAGAATCCTAGTGTACCCTATCTTCAACCGTAAATGGGCCGGTCAGGCTGGAACCGCGATCAGGGAATGGAGTTAGCCTAACGCTCAGGACATAAGGTCAAAATGATTAGTGTTTTGTTCCACTACTCTCAGGACTTTAATGCTTCCCACTAGCCTTTTTGTCTTCGGCTTTGAGCTATGTTCCTCCGGCTCCAGCTTTGCACCCCTTCTATTGCTGCACTCGTCCTCAATCTCTACATTCTTGTACATACTTTACAGACAGAGTCGATTAGGCACCTTTTTCAAAGTCTGTCCCATGGGCAATGTTTGGACGGTAGACGTTGTGAATATATCAAGCAATGAAAGCAGGTCTGATTCTAGATACTTCCTGCAGTCATTATAACGAACCACTTCTGCTGTCACTTTGGCATTAGCATAAGAAGGACAAATTAGTGCCCTTATAAACGCTGAGTTGTATGACACGGTGTGCCCTAGATACCCCTAAAACCATTTTCATGATTACCTTGCATCAGACCATATCACGCCCCGGAAACGTTGCATCGTATAGACCTCGTCATCAGCACTGCCTTCTCATAGCATATCGAAATATATCTTCGAAGCACTTAGATACAAAAGTCTTCATGAGTTGGCTTTCACTGGTATGATAAATGTACAATCCAAACAGGCATATCAGTTCACGTTGAACCAAAGTCGCTATATACAGTTAGACATGTTGCAACTGCTCTCTCTCTTGGGTTATCAGGGTGGCATAACCCTAGTCAAAATGAGATCTTACAAAAGCAGCAAAGATCTAACCACATTATATTATATTATAATAAGATTCAAAGACTAAGTCAAATATAGAATAGAGAATAGAAAGAGGTGTACACTATACATGCCACTAAGCCTTACTCGACAGCATCGATATCCAGTCCATACACATCCCATCAACACCACCAACCAGACTTTTCCGGTTGTGAGACTGGCCCTCATTAATAGACTACTGGAACTTCCTTCCCTCCACCTTAACCACCGGTCCATCGTAGTGCTTCCTCGCATAGGCCCAGTACACAATCGTCGAGATGCCCATCAGCCCCACGAACAACACCGACGCCCAGTTGAAGTTCTCGGCATTGACATTGTACGCGTTGGGCCAGAAACTCCAGAAGAAAGACCAGCTGGCATACACCATGGCCAGGATATTAACGGGCAGACCAAAACGGCCCAGCGTCCATCGCGATGGTGGGAGCGGGGGATCCTGGGAAATGCGACGAGCAATGATACAGCCGATCGAGATGAGATAGGTCGCCATCAACGCGGTGGTCGATAGAGAGAGCATGGCATTGAAGGCGACGGTCGAGCCGATGTTGATGAGAGACATTGCCATTGAGAAGAGACAGGTGACAATGATAGAGTTGACCGGGATATGTAGTCGTGGGTTGACCTGCAGAATGCTACGTGTGAGTTATATCAACCAGACTAGGGCTGGTACGAAACCTACCTCTCCTAGCCAGTTTGCAAAGGGCAGGCCATTGTCGCGCGCAAAGGCAAAGGTCTGACGCGAAGCCGATGCCAGAGAGCTAATCGTGATCATGACAATCAAGATAAGGACAATCACAACGAGTATGGTAGCACCGGCAGTGTTATCAACTGCCTGGCGGAAGACATGGATAAATGGGAAGCCCGTGGGAGAGTCGAGGGCACTTTGCACGTCGGGCATGCAGAACAGGTATGTGAGGAGCAGGCCAAACGCGAAAGGGATGTTCAGGAGGAACGCCCAGATCATCGACTTTGGAACGATGACGCTGGCATTTTCAATCTCTTCCGCTACCGGAATGTCAGTACAAAGCTCTATATGATGTGTCAGTCATCACTTACACATGTGTGCGACAGAGTCAGACCCTAGAAAAGTAGAGTGTAAGGATTAGCTACCCAAGTTGTCTAAAATTTGAGCATGGAGTCTCACCCAGCACGACAAACATGCAAGATACCTGGCCGACCATGACCGTCCATGAGAGAGATGGCCATCCGGACCCATAATCTGTAAATCCAGTGAAGACATCTTCTGCCTTTGCCTTGGGGGCGAGTACGAGCAGGGTCACGATCACTGGAATAAAGGCAAAGAAATGACATGTAACGAAGATCCCTTCCGCCAATGGCAGATGCTTCGCGCCGAAGATATTGAACAATGACATGCCGATTGCTGCAGCAAAGACGAGCAACGTTCCCTGCCAGCGTGCTGGCAAGTACGTGTCGTCATTCAGTGAGATGAGGCCTTGCACTATCGTTCCAGCCAGGTAAGCATCAAGGGCGACGATGCTCTGCCAGGATATCGTTGAAAGCCATCCTATTATACTCAGTCGTGAACGTAGTTGAGGATCATTTGCAATGGACTTACCAGAGGCATAACTGAGGAATTTCTGGTAGGCCCGAGGAGCGAATTCGGAAACCCACTGGCAGAGATGTCAGCAGCGCCGAGTGAGTTACGTTCGCTATATGCCACTTACATGGTACTGTCCGCCCGCAGTGGGTGCCCTAGTCACAGTCAGACCATAGTCACAAAAGCCGTACCCATGCTTACATGGAAGACATCTCCGCCATGGAGAGCACGATGAAGAACTGCCCGCAGTATGCCCATACTAAGGACCAAAACAGAGCCGGTCGTCCGCCGGCTATCAGACCAGGGGTGTTGGAGCTGGCTTTGCATTAGCCTGGTGCTAAACACGCGTGTAATATGGGGGGTGTACGTCAATAGGATCTCCCATGTACCCATGACACAAGTCGTGAAACCGATGGTGCTGGCCATGCGGAAGTTCCTCTGCATGCTCAGTCAGTCCTGCCGGAAAGCCACACATCCCGAGGTAGACAAACCCGTAACTCCTGCTTCTTGCCCATGCGCTGCATATCCCGCTGGTCGTTCACGGTGAAGCCTGCCTTGACATCGTCGGACAAGTCGGGGTCAAGCGGGCCATTTCTCTCTTCTACATGTGGAGAACGGACCGAACCGACCTCCTTCAATTCCAGTTGTCCACTGGATAGCATGTTGATGAGATAGATATAGAGCACCTACAGCAAAGGCAAGAGAAAGGGGGGAGTTGGTAGAGAGAGAGGAGGGTATTGTTGAGTTTTGCTTTTTTCCACATTCTTCTCTGACAGTTCTGAGTTCAAATCATAATGGGGCTAGTTACATGTACGTAAATGGCGCCAGAAACTACAAATAACGAGGATAAGTTTGGACAGGGGCTATAGTGGACCTTTTTCTGTCAAAGTTGCGCCAAAACGGTTTGAACAGTCTAGGCCGGCGAGTTAGGGCACGAAGGGGGTCCGTACCCGTATAACGTTGCATTTAACTACTAATGAATATAGGATCGCCCCGCCACGAATGGGATCTGCCGTGCAAAATCTTCCGAGCCAAGATCTTAGTGACAAATGCGTAACTCCCGTCAAGGCAAAGTCGACTTTCTGGCATGGGGGCGAATATGTGCGTTGTCTCTGGGCGCACTCCGGTTGTTACGACTCCGTGTCGGCTGGTGAATATTAACAAATGACGAAGAGGCAAGAGGGAGCGTAGATTGTAGGAAACCGGCATTGAAATGATAGCAATGTAGTGCATATTAAGGTAACATCCACAGACTAGGCGCATGCGACTACTGCCAACGGGGCTGGCAGTGTTAGAAGGAATGCAGCTATTCCTATGCAGATGCAGGGATTTATTCCTTCGGTGAGTATCAATCAGCAGAGTTACATCGAAAAGGATCCTCCTTCACGTTAACACAACCCGATGCCGGAGGACCGCACCAGAGAAACTTCACTAGTATAGTATAGTTCGCTTTTCCCATATGGAACGTTGAATAATGTCCCCTGGCTCAGAAGAGGTGGCTTTCTGGGAAGTAGATAATGCTTTCGTCTGGCTCTCCACGTCTTCATTGCAGGGTTGATCTTCTGATTGATTCGACTCCGGGAATGTGCGTTCCTGATGTCGTCCAGCAACGCTGATGGAGACTCCTACGTCCAGGTGACACCAGACGACCATAGCGCCTTCATCATTATCGCGGCTCTGATTGGCCTGAGCTGGTCAATTCTCATCATTGGCATCCGGGTGTATCTCCGCGTGAAGCTGAATCCCCCCTTTGGCTTGGACGATGTAGCCGCCCTATTCGGGACGGTAAGCACCAGGTACTCTGTAAGCCAGTCATTGTCAGGGCGCTGACGAGATGTTATTCAGATTATCGGGACCGTGCAAACAGCCGTGATCCTCCAAGCAGTACGAGATGGGATCGGCAAGAAAGAAGCTTTGCTCACTGATGATCAAATCGAATCGGGACTAAAGGTAAGCAGGCCCAGTCTTTGTGGGCCAAGCTACTGTGATAACTGACTTGGGCGATATTCTAGGGCATCTATATCGCCTGGCTCCTGTATCCCATCGTCGTCTGTTCGTCGAAGATCTCGATCTCCCTTCTCATCGCGCGTCTCACCAGAACGAAACTCCACCTCAAAGCGAGCCAGCTTCTGACCGGATTCATCCTGCTCTGGGGAGTCATCTCGCTGTTCCTGATTGCCTTCCAATGCAAACTCCCCATGCCATGGAACGTCGGGGCAGTGGATCAATGTGGCAGCATGGTATGATAGTCGTCTTCCCCGAACAAGGGCCATATCTAACAAGGCTATCAGTTTGCCCAATGGACGGCAGTCGAGGCGGGAAACATGTTTATTGAGCTTCTGCTTCCATGCCTTGTCGTCCTAATGGTGTGGGATCTGCGGGTCGCCTCAGCGACCAAAATAACTGTGGTCATGGCCTTTTCTCTGCAGCTGCTGTACGTATCCACGGTCAATATGCTGTGCCCGCTGACGTTCCTCAAGAACAGCGATTCCCATCATTGTGCGCCTCGTATTTCTCCAGCAAAGCACGACAAAAGACAACGCCGCCGACGCGACGTTCGCAATCACCGACACCGTCCTGTTTACCGAAGTGGCCATGCACTTTTCGCTGATGTCGGCCACTTTTCCGTGCCTTCGCAAGTTCCTCCAGGTCTTCGACTTGAACATGGGTGCCACCACGCACATGGACTGTGAGCCGGGCGGCACCTACTACAGTCGCTCTCGCTCCGCCGGGAGCTATGCGCTGCAGTCGATGGAGCGAGGTTCGCGAGTGCGCAAGGAGGAGTTGCTCGGTGCAAAGTCTCGGTTGAACCCCAGAGGGCAATGTCAGACCGTCACAACGGTATCGGGGGGGTTGAGGGATGGGGGTGACAAGCAGAAGTCGCAACGCAACAGTGCGGTTGACGATGCTGAGATGAGGAGCATCGATAGCGATGGAAGTCAGAATGCCATCATTAGGCGAACGCAGTGGGAGGTTAAGGTGGAGTGAGTGGGCATCCTTTTATTAACTGTAGCGATTCAGTTGAGATCCAGGCTTGTGTATATGTAGACTGAGTGGAGTAGTTTAACAGTAACATAAATACCTTTCAAACTTAGTATACAGAGATATAGCATAGAGATGCTGGATCACCTTCATTAGTATATTCTCAGTAAACGAAGATATGGGTTACTGAGATAAGTCACAGTGATATGTTATCCTTTGGCACAATAAGACCCTGGCTCTTGGCTCACGAAGAAACATCCTTCGACAAGTTGTGACGATATCAAATTCCATCAAGCCATCACCTTCAGGTTAATGACCATTATTGCCAGGACAGTGAGAACACTGCGGTGAGAATAAGCTAGCTGATTGATTTTTACCAGGCACTTTGCGACCTTCGACGGTGGCCAGATTGAGATATATAAACCAACTAAATGGGTCCATCTGGAATATTTGCGGATATATAAAGACATGGTCTCTAAGGCCAGAGTATGCAGTTCGTGTGAAGATTGACCTGTTTCATCCCTGTATCAATGGCCAGATGCATGTCAGCAAAGACGAGAGTGTTCGCCCCGTAACCCAAGTATAGTTGAAGATCACCACAGATTCCGGTCAAGTCAATTGAGTATAAAAAGAAAACACACGCCTCGCTGCAGTACGGGCCTTGCCTGGAAGATATATTCCTGCAAAGCGGATGACAGTATTTTTGGGGCATACTCGGAATTCCTGCCTTGCGTTTCTCTGCTTAGCTGCTCATAGCTCGTCAGCCTTGCTGCATTTGCTGGTGACGAGCCTGGCACCATTCCCACCACACGAAGCATTGGTGCTTCAGAACTTGCCATTACCCTAGTCAAAGGATCAGGCGTTGATCACTCACCGAAGAAAGCTACACGGAGCAAACTGAGCTTCCCCGAAGATTACCTTCACCCGAATGCCCATCAAGTGATGAGTCTACGTGGGTACATCAAGGAACAGAGTCAATAAGGAGGCAGAAGGCTATGAAGCCTGCAATGTGTATATGCAAAATAAAAAAAAATTAGAAAACGTTATGTACATGGGATCGACTGTGCATCAAAAGGGTATGAGAAAATCACAATCAACCATGGCCCAAAAAACCAATGCAAGACAACAAACACGATAAAGAGATACATAATGGCATAAACATGTCGGACATCACATTCTTATCATCCATCAGCCTCCGGGGAATCGACAGATGGCTCATAAGAGAAAGAAACCATAACACCGTTGCACCGTGCCCACCAGGAACCTGGGGAGGTCGAAAAGAAGAAAACAGGCATGTCAATGCAGATAATCAACAAATCTATCGCAACATGCCCTCGGGAATCAAGTTTCTATGATAAATCCGGAAAGGAGCTCCTCAGACGAGCTCCACGAATAACGTCAGCTTGGAATTGCGTTGAATGGCCGTATCGAGATCGCTGTCGCTGACCAGGTCGACGTAGGCGCCCGACGGCTCGTCCTTGTATTGCACCGCGATTTCAGTGTTGATCTTCAGGCGATCCATGAGCTTCTCGCGCAGCTGCTGAAAGCTGATATCGTTCGGGACTCGAATCGCGATGAGATCGCCCTGGAAGGACACCTTGACTTTCAAGGCGCCGCTGCTCGAGCTGGAGACCTGCGTCAGAGAGCTGGCCTGTCGGTTCATCGGCGGGGGCATGCCGTTGCTGTGCGAGATCGACGCCTGAGCCCGCTGGTGCGAGTTCCGGTCGGGCGGGGGGTGGACCTGAGCCTGCGAGGACTGGCGGGACGCGCTGCGGAGGTCCTCATGCGCCGAGTGGTGCGACCCCCCGGAGAACCGCACATCCTCGCCAAACGCGCTGGGGTCGATTTCGAAGTCTCCCGCGCGAGGAGCAAACAATTCGCGGACCAACTGACAGCGGGAGATGTGGGGCGGCATGGCCAGCAGTTTCCGAATATACTCGTCCAAGTTCTGGCGGCGGCCGTTGGAGATCGCATCGGTAACGTGGGTGACCGGGCCGGGCATGAACGGTAAGGTCCGCGGCTTGCCTCGGTTCCCGGCCTCTTCTTCAAACTGCGTCAAGAGGGCGATCTGAAAGTCATAAAAGTCGTGGTAATACCGGGAGAGTTCCCAACAGCGACCGTCCTCCATCTTCGCCTCGATGATGTACCAGTATTTATCGTTGTCGAAGCAGTAGCGAGGAATGGACGCGGCGACCGGGGCCACCAGGGGCTGGTGGTAGCTTTGCACCGACTGGTGAGACATATGCTGTGCGAGCGAACCTTTGCTGGGATTGCGATGATGGTAGCCCTAACCGGACGACGGGTTAGCACGGCGATCCGCGGGATCCCGAACGGGGTGGCAAGGGGAAGCGTTGCGACTCACATAAGAATTTCCGTTCTGGCTCAAATGGGCGGTGCTCTGATGGCTCATGGACATCTTTTCCATGCCGGCGGTCACCGAGTTCACATTGTTCGCCGCCGCTGCGGCGGAGTCGATCTTGCCCAACGTGATGCTGCTATTTTTGTAGTCGGCGGTCATCTTCTTCCATTCCTCCACCTTGGGCACTCCAGCGCGTCGCACAGCGTCGAGGGGATCCGTCACCGCTTGACCCGACTGCATATCCCGCAGCTCAATGAACGAGACCGGGATGAGACCGGGGCCGCCCAGGCGACCGATGGGTTTGGCGACAAACCATTCCGGGTTGGACTGGGCGATGACGATGATGGCCTCGCCGGCTTTGGCGGCGAGCTCGTCCGGTCGCTCGGCCTGGAAGTCATACTGGACGACACCGTAGACCATGGGGCTCGAGCCCTTGCCTAGTGTTGACATTCTCAGGAAGGCGGGGGGAGGATTGTGTTTCGGCGAACCGTTGACGACGTCGGGACCAGGGAAGGCAGCTGGGGCTCGATCAGAGAAACCGGAGTCGTGGGATTCCTTCTTCTTATGTAGGTCCAGCGAACCGGCGCTATTTCTTTCGTTCTTGCCGATGATCTCAAAAAACGACACAGGCACCAACCCCCTAGCGGTAGGGATGAGGGGATTACACGCTTCGTACCAATCCAAGTCGTCCTCCCTGCTGATCACGTGAAAGAAGTCTCCCTTGCTGAAGGCCAATTCCTGGGTATTGCCGGGCTCTGGTTGGTAATCGTAAAGAGCTTTGATAACCTGCGCGCCACCCAGGGGGGTGGTTGATCGATTAGTCGTCTTTTTTTTTTTTTTTTTCGTTTTTTGTTGTTGGTTGCCAAGAAGGGGAACGATCCGACTAGTAAAAGCCGAGGGAAGGAGGAAGAGAGAGAGAGAAGGGGGAAAACAACCAGAAAAAAGAAAGGCGGGACTGAACTGGGGAAAGGAAATGGATGGTAAGAAAGCGAAATGGCAACTAAACATGACGATACCGAAAGGTAAAACATGCGAGATACACACCTTTTTCGGGGGCAGGATCGCAATCGCTGACTTGGGCGTAATCGACAGATGGTGGTGGTGGTGGTGGGGTTTGGGGTCCTTTTCCCCTTTGAGGGAGCGTCGGATGGCCTAACGAATGAATCGATTAATTAATTCTGGGGAGTCCAAGTGAGCGACCACAAAATTGGGGATGCTGGTCACAAGCGATAATCGAGATAAACGAGGGGCGGGAAAAGACGAAGCGCGAGGAACTTGAAACAAGAAGGGGGAATGTGAGATCCATCCACATACCTTCATGGCTGCCAGGCGGACCAACTAGTAAATCCGATGTAGGAACAACGTCACTTCAAAAGTTTCCCAATCCAAAAAGAAGATCGAGGCAAAGTACGGAGGACAATGTAATCAACTCCCCAAAATCCAAAATACGGATAAAAATACAATCGTCCTCAAGGTCGGGTGTAGGTTTGCGGGCTGCAGAAGAGACGAAGATATCCCACGGATCTGCCTGCTATAAAACCCAATCTGCGCCACCAACAAGGAAAGACGAGAGACGATGGCGACAGACGGTCGAGTACAAAGAAAAGGAATGTATGGGGGAGTCGGGGGAGGGACTCGAATGAATGAATGGAGAGAGTGAGTCGGAGATCGAGAGGGGAATGCGAATAATAAAAAAGAAAGACCAAGCGATGGAGAGTATCAGTGAGAGTGAGAGTGAGAGTGAGAGAGGCGCATGTACTGTATGTATGGATGGATGGTGGATGTATGAATGTATGTATGCCAATCGTATGGTCTCCGTCCCGTTCTATTTGGAGACTTACTCACTCGACACTGGTCTTGTCTCTGTCTCGCGCTCTCTTCGCCCGTTTGTCAGATCTTACAACCACCGCTGGGTGAACCAGTCTGAATGGACGTTCTGGATTGCGATCACTCCAAAAAAGCAGTGAGGGCCCGCTTTGTGTCGCCCGCCCCTGATATTACGGAGGAGGAATAATCTGGATGGGGCGAGTAACAATGAAGGATGGAGCTGACAATCCACGCGTGACAGCTGGGTTTGTTCCTCGAAGGCCCCAGACTGGAACCACTTTTTTTTGTGATCTTTTTTTTTTTCCTTTCCGTGTGGTTAATGCGCAGTGGTTCTTTTTGATTGTTATTCTTGGAATCCGGCGTTTCTGTGCATAACCCGAGGGAAAGGCACCTGGTGGCTGTGAATCGATTTCCAGGTGGATTTCGGGGGGGGAAGAAGAAATGGGACCGTGGGGTTCTTGTCCTGTCCTGTTCTGTTCTGTATGCTGTTTGAAAATTTCGTGGGTTCGTAGTGGCGGGAATTTTTGAATCCCTCCGGCTGGGTTGATAATATGGATCCTCTTCTGCAAGATGTATGTATGTAGTCTGTAGTCTGTACGTATGTATAAATCGCAGGCAGGAAAGGGAGACGCAGAGAGGTAGCGCTGGGAACTCCCAAAATAAGAGTCAAGCTAACAATTCAAAATCGAGGAATAGGAAAAAGGAAAAAGTCTGCCACTGTTAACACATCTGCAACATCCCAAGTACATTGGATTGATTGGTAGTACGGTACCAGAGACGGTACAGAAGTCCTGTACAGTGTATCCATCGACTTCCGTCGGGTACAGTCAGTGTGGTTGGGTGGAGACGTGGGATCCGTTTGGAAAAACTTACTGTACCGTATCGAAGAACAACTTTTTTTTTTCTTCCTTCCAGAAGGAAATCCATGAACTTTAAAAACTGGAAATCTTGGTTTCTGGGAATAAACAAGAAAAA